TGGTGAAACCCCATCTCTACTAAAAATACAAAAATTAGCTGGGCATGGTGGCATACACCTGTAATACCAGCTATTCAGGAGGCTGAGGCTAAAGCATCGATTGAACCCAGGAGGTGGAGGTGGCAGTGATCTGAGATTATACTACTGCACTCCAGCATGTGTGACAGAGCAAGACTCTGTCTCAAAAAAAAAAAAAAAAAAAAACAAGAAAAAGGCAGACTGGGTACAAGACACGGGTCTGTTATGTCACTCTTTCTCACAATCTTTTTAAAGTTACTGAGAACTATGACAATAATTAGGCCTATGATACTCCTGAGAAGGAAATCTATTTGTGAAACAAAAATTAATTTTTTCCCATTAGCCTCTGACATACAAACTAACAGCACAGTTCGCCATACAACAATCACCTCTTCTGCCATTTCTTTTCACCAGATATTCTATTCACTTACCTCTCTATCTTCCCTGCCAGTCCACTCCCTCCTCTTTCCAGCCTGTGCTTTAGACAAGGACCCCAAACAAGAATCACCTGGGAAACGCTAAAAATACAGATTCCTAGTCATAATCCCAATTTTACCAAGAAAGAAAGATTGGGGGCCAGGCTCAGTGGCTCACACCTGTAAGCCCAGCACTTTGGGAGGCCGAGGCGGGCAGATCAAGGTTAGGAGACAGAGACCATTCTAGCTACAAGGCTAAACCCCGTCTCTATTAAAAATACAAAAAATTAGCCAGGCGTGGTGGCAGGCGCCTGTAGTCCCAGCTACTAGGGAGGCTGAGGCAGGAGAATCAATTGAACTCACGAGGTGGAGAGTGCAGTGAGCTGAGATCAAGTCACTGCACTCCAGCCTGAGCAACAGAGCAAGACTGTGTCTCAAAAAAAAAAAAAAAAAAAAAAAAAGGAAGGTTTGGAAACCCCTTACATCAACAAGCAACATCCAAAGACACCAAAAACTGCACCCAGCCCAGATCAAGTTTTTTCCTAGGTCATGTTTTTCATCTCTGTCCTCTCCAAGGAGTTAGATAGAAGCTGAATTTCGGCCAGGCACGGTGGCTCAAGCCTGTAATCCCAGCACTTTGGGAGGCCGAGGTGGGTGGATCACAAAGTCAAGAGATCGAGACCATCCTGGTCAACATGGTGAAACCCCGTCTCTACTAAAAATACAAAAAAATTAGCTGGGCATGGTGGCGTGTGTCTGTAATCCCAGCTACTCAGGAGACTGAGGCAGGAGAATTGCCTGAACCCAGGAGGCAGAGGTTGCGGTAAGCCAAGACCACGCCATTGCACTCCAGCCTGGGTAATAAGAGCAAAACTCTGTATCGAAAAAAAAAAAAAAGACGCTGAATTTCAAATTTTACACTGAAATACACAATTCTAATTAAGTATCTTCCTCCTGGAGAAGTGATATTCCAGTTTTAGATGCAATTCTGATGTAAAGCCCAACTGCCCTGGGAAGAGTCAGCTGTTAAAAGGAAACAAAAAAATCAAGGTAGCTCTGGCTGTCCAATTTTACAAATTTTCAAGAGACTTGATGAGGGGTGAGCCAAAGGCAGTCAATGCTTTATTGTTTGTAACTCATTGGCACTTGCATTTCTAGAGTTGCTCATTTTCCCCCACTTTGGTGACTCATAGCATTTCAACATATTGCCACAGCAAAGGAGAAAAGGAAATCAAGTCAGACAATAGAGGAAATGACAGGATTTCCCTCTTCACATCCCCAGTTAGATGAGGTCACTCAATGAGTATGTTTCCAAGGCTCCACAAATTCCCACACCCTCACCAGTGTTTTAACCTAAGCATTGTATTTGATAACTTTTTCTAATTTCACCAAGTAAACTTACATGTCCTGTTTAACTGTGAACTCCGGGTAAGCACAAATTTTGTCTTGTGATATTTTTCTTTTTTGAGACACGGTCTCACTCTGTCACTCAGGCTGGAGTGCAGTGATGTGATCTCAGCTCACTGCAACCTCCACTTCCTGGGCTCAAGTGATCCTTCAGAGTTAGCCTCCCCAGTAGCTGTGATTACAAGCACCAGCCACCACACCCAGCTCATTTCTGTGTTTTTTGCAAAGACAGGTTTGTACTGTGCTGTCCAGGTTGGTCTTGAATTACTGGCCTCAAGTGTTATCCTCCCACTTTGGCCTCCCAAAGTGCTGAGATGACAGGCATGAACCACAGTGCATGGCCTTTTTATTTTATTTTATTTTATTTATTTATTTATTTAAGGAGACAGGGTCTCACTATGTTGCTCAGGCTGGCCTCGAACTTCTGGGCTCATGCAATCCTCCCACCTTAGCCTCCTAAACAGCTGAGAATGGAGATATGGCACCACCATGCCAAGCTGTCATGATATTCTTGAAAAAAACCTAATTAATAAACCACAGACTCACTAACTTATATTCCTTATCCTCCTTTCCAAAAGAAACACTAAAATTTTCAATAAGTTAAAATTTTAATCAAAACAGTGTTTTAACACTATACTAGAAATTCAAAAGTAAGCTTATTTCCTCCTATTTGAGAGGACAGTTTAAGGGAAGGAGGAAGTCATCTTAAACATAATCCTAGCCAGGCGCGGTGGCTCACACCTGTAATCTCAACACTTTGGGAGGCCGAGGTGGGTGGATCATGAGGTCAGGAGTTCCAGACTAGCCTGACCAACATAGTGAAACCCCGCCTCTACTAAAAATACAAAATTTAGCTGGGTGCAGTAGCACGTGCCTGTAGTCCCAGGTACTCAGGAGGCTGAGGCAGGAGAATCACTTGAACCTGACAGGCAGAGGATGGAGTGAGCCAAGACTCCATCTCAAAAATACTACTACCAATAATAATCCTTTTCCAATCTCTACAATTCCTTCTGGAAAACAACAGAAGGTCTGTAGGCAGACCACCAGGTTCAAGATCATCTGTGCCAGGTCATTTCAGCTGAGTTTCTTTCTTTTTTTTTTTTTTTGGCAGTCCACTCTGTCACTCAGGCTGGAGTGCAATGGCATGATCTCAGCTCACGGCAATCTCTGTCGCCCGAGTTCAAGTCATTCTCCTGCCCCAGCCTCTGGAGTAGCTGGGACTGCAGGCACGTAGCAATCCACCATTTAATTGTTTGTATTTTTAGTAGAGACAGGTTTTCACCATGATGGCCAGGGTGGTCTTGAACCCCTGACCTCAGGTGATCCACCTGCGTCGGCCTCTCAAAGTGGTGGTATTACAGGTGTGAGCCACTCTGCCCAGCCTAAGCTGAGTCTTCGCACTGACCTCGTTTACACTTGGAAAAACGAACAACTCCCAAGGCTTTGCAAGGGGCTGAGAGGAGAGGGCTTCCTCCAGAGGAAAGTATTATGCATTGTTTTTCCTCCTTTTTCTTTTTTTGAGACAGAGTCTCAATCTATCGCCAAGGCTCCCCACCCCAGGTTCATGGGATTCCTGCCTCAGCCTCCCAAGTACCTGGGATTTCAGGCACGCACCACCGCGTCCAGGCAATTTTTGTATTTTTAGTAGGGACTGGGATTCACCGCATTGACCAGGCTGGTCTCAAACTCCTGACCTCAAGTGATTTGCCTGCCTTGGCCTCCCAAAGTGCTGGGATTACAGAATTGAGGCACTGAGCCCGGCCAGTGTTCCTTTTCTCAATCATACTCCACCTTGTTTCGTTTATAGCGTCATCAACAAAACACCTTATGTAAGGATGGACACCACAAGCCATGTCAGAGGGTGTTGTTTGTTTGAGACAGAGTCTCGCTCTGTTGCCAGGCTCAAGGCTGGAGTGCAGTGGCGTACTCTCGGCTCACTGCAACCTCCGCCTCCTGGGTTCAAGCAATTCTCCTGCCTCAGCCGAGTAGCGGGCACTACAGGCGCGCACCACCACGCCCAGCTAATTTTTTATTTTATTTATTTTTTTTTAGTAGAGACGGGGTTTCACCATGTTGGCCAGGATGGTCTCGATCTCTTGACCTCTTGATCCGACAGCCTCGGCCTCCCAAAGTGCTGGGATTACAGGCGTGAGCCACCGCGCCCGGCATGTTTGTTTTTTAGACGGAGTCTTGCTCTGTCGCCCAGGCTGGAGCGCCATGGCACGGTCTCGGCTCACGGCAACCTCCACCTCCCGGGTTCCAGCGATTTCTTCAGCCTCCCGAGTAGCTGGAACTACAGGTGCACATTACCAGGCCCGACTGATTTTTGTATTTTAGTAGAGATGGAGTTGCACCATGTTGGCCAGCCTGGTCTCGGACTCCTGACCTCAAGCAATCCGCCCACCCCTGCCTTCCAAAGTGATAGGAATACAGGCGTGAGCCACCGCGCCCGGCCCAGAAGCAGGCAGGTCTCGTGCAAAGGCTGCAAGGCGGTCCCGGCAGCTTTTGCAGGACCATTAATGCACCCAGAGCACTGCGCTCAGAAGGTGACAGGAAAACCCGCGTCCGGACTAACCGGCTGCCCCCACACCTGACCCCTCCCAGTCTGACTTTGCTCCAAGGCGTACCAGGGTTCACTCGTGAAGTCACCACACCGACTCAAGGGGCACTTCCGACAGAGATGGGGCACTGGAGGAAGGGCAGATGCCGACGGCCAATGCCAACAGCCTGGGAAGCCGCCAAGGCGGGCTCCAATCTCCGCCGGCACCCGCTGTCCGCACCGCTGACGTCCCCAGCTACGAGGGTCACCTCGCCCCGCACAGCAGTGACGCTGGGAGGGGATGGGCCCAACAGGGAAGCCCCGGGGAAACGCTCAGCCCTCCCCGCGCCCTCTGAGACGGCTTCTGAAGAGCGGCGTCCGGGGCTTCGCCCTCCCCTCTCAGCCCCTCCACGCCTGTTCTCGTCCGCCTGCCTGGCCTCACCCGGCTTCCGGCCGCCCCCTGCCAGGTCTCCCCTCAGGCCCGCATCGGAGACTCGGAGGGCTGTGGCCCGGCCGAGCCCAGCTCCGAAGGCCTGGATCGAGGCAGGGCCCCCGGAGGACACGGCGCGGCCCAAGGAGCCAAACGGAAGGAAGGTCCCGGGAGGGCGCAGACCGCTCACCTGCCGCAGGTCGCTGTCGCCCGCCCGCCGGCCACCAGTCAGCGCGCCCGTCAGCGAATCCCTCAGGCGCCGCTGTCCCCGCAGCCCAGCGGGCTGGCGCGAGACCGGCGCGACGTGAGCACGCAACGCGGGGTGGGGCCTGCGGAGGACACGCCCTCTGTAGCGGACACGCCCTTGCGAGAGGCTGGAAGCGGAATATACTCCTTGTCCAGGTCCCTGGAGGCTGCAGACTCAGGCTCTGTTCAGCGCGGTATGTCGGGTGCTTCGGCAGGAACGCTAGTGTTCACAAGAGCCGAGGTGTGGGAGGGTGCCTCAGGGATGAGCACTTCTCTTGCCCAATGTGGTTTAACCCTCTTAGGAAATAGGGTTGTTAACCGGGGCACTGACCTCTTGGTCCCTTGCCAGTGCAATCCATTAACCAGCCCTGTGCAGGCTTCACTGCGAAACGTGAGTCTCAACTCTAACATCTCTACTTCCAGTCTTGTATCTGATCTCCCTGACTTGGTCTTGCCCCATTATTCGCATTCCTCAAACAGCAGCCAGAATGACAGAATAATCTTAAACCCTGTAATCCCAGCACTTTGGGAGGCTAAGGCAGGCAGATCACGAGGTCAGGAGTTCGAGATCAGCCTGGCCAACAGAGTGAAACCCTGTCTCTACTAAAAATACAAAAAATTAGCTGGCCGGGCGCAGTGGCTCACACCTGTAATCCCAGCACTTTGGAAGGCCAAGGCGGGAGGATTACGAGGTCCGGAGTTCAAGACCAGTCTGACCAATATGGTGAAACCCTATCTCTACTAAAAATTCAAAAATTTGCTGGGCGTGGTGGCGCGTGCCTGTAATCCCAGCTACTCGGGAGGCTGAGGCAGGAGAATCGCTTGAACCCGGGAGGCAGAGGTTGCAGTGAGCCGGCATTACACCACTGCGCCCCAGCCTGGGCAACAGAGGGACGCTCCATCTCAAGAAAATAAAATAAAATGAGTAAGTTGAGTGGATAGATGGATAAATATATCTAGGTGGTAAATATATGGGGGTTCACCTTTCAGTTCTTTCAACCATTCTATGTTTACACATTTTCATAATAAAATTTTGGTGAAAATAATATAACCATAATAGTCTGTTGCCAGATGTGCATGGCAAGTCAATACACCAAGGCACAGGGTTGCAGCAGAGAAAGAGGCTTAATAATAGCACCAGCGAAATACAGTGCCCCTTCCCAAAACCCCAGTGCATTTGGGAAGCCAAGGCAAGAGGATGACTTAAGGCCAGGAGTTTGAGACCAGTCTGGGCAACACAGAACTCACTTCTGCAAAAACTAAAAACAATGAGCTGGGCATGGTGGTGTGTACCTTTATTCCCTGCTACTGGGGAGGCTGAGGTCGGAGGATCACTTGAACCCAGAAATTTGAGACTGCAGTGAGCTATGACCACATCACTGTACTACAGCCTGGACACCAGAATGAGACTCTGTCTTTTAAAAAATAAATCTTAGGGCCCCCCAATGAAAAGATAGAAGGAAACCTCAAATCTGTCTCCCCTAGGAGTTTAGGGGTAGGGTTTTTAAGGATTTTGAAGTGGGCCATAGTGTGGAGATTGTTGATTGGTGGAAGAGTGCAGAATGAAGCACTGGGGCAGAGAGATGAAGGAACTATATTCTCATGCTGACCCCGTTCCTCCATGGGGTCTTCAACCTGGTTGACATCACCTTTTGTCTTGGAATTTGGAATCTGAAAAATATATCAAGCAATTCTGTTTTTCTTTAAAGTTTGTATTTGTTTTTTATTTTTATGTATTTATGTATTTATTTATTTTGAGACAGAGTCTTGCTCTGTCGCCCAGGCTGGAGTGCAGTGGCACTCTTGGCTCATTCACTGCAACCTCCTCCAACTCCTGGGTTCAAACAATTCCCCTGCCTCAGCCTCCCAAGCAGCTGGGACTACAGGCTCAAGCCACACCGCCCGGCTAATTTTTTTTGTATTTTAGTAGAGACGGGGTTTCACCATGTTGGCCAGGATAATCTCGATCTCCTGACCTCTTGATCTGCCTGCCTTGGCCTCCCAAAGTGCTGGGATTACAGGTGTGAGCCACCACACCCAGACTATTTCTATTTTTTAATCTTTTTTTTTTTTTTTTTTGAGATGGAGTCTCGCTCTGCTGCCCAGGCTGGAGTGCAGTGGTGCAGTCTTTGCTCAATGCCACCTCCACCTCCCAGTTTCAAGTGATTCTCCTGCCTCAGCCTCCCGAATAGCTGGGATTACAGGCACCCGTCACCCCACCTGGCTAACTTTTTATATTTGTAGTACAGACATGTTTCACTATGTTGGCCAGGCTGCTCTTGAACTCCTGGCCTCAAGATCTGTGCTCCTCAACCTCCCAAAGTGCTGGGCTTACAGGCTTGAGCCACCATGCCCAGCCTAATCAATCTTTTTTTTTATGATGCACTGTCTGCTTTCATAATATCTTAAGCAATTCTTTTTCTTTTTCTTTTTTCTTTTTTTTTTTTTTGAGACGGAGTTTCGCTCTTGTTGCCCAGGCTGGAGTGCAATGGCGCGATCTCGGCTCACCGCAACCTCCGCCTCCTGGGTTCAGGCAATTCTCCTGCCTCAGCCTCCTGAGTAGCTGGGATTACAGGCACACGCCACCATGCCCAGCTAATTTTTAGTAGAGACGGGGTTTCACCATGTTGACCAGGATGGTCTCGATCTCTTGACCTCGTGATCCACCCGCCTCGGCCTCCCAAAGTGCTGGGATTACAGGCTTGAGCCACCGCGCCCGGCCGATCTTAAGCAATTCTTAAACAAGAGCTTATGATTCCAGTGTCAGAGATCCTAACTATAGGAACAATGGGGAGGCAAAAGGTCAGTTATCAGTGACTTTCAGTTACAAGAAAGGGGGTCAAACTACAGTAAGCCTGATTAGTTCTTAATTATAACTATATGTCTGTCCAGAATTGTTGTTAACCATGTGAGGAAGGCTTAAATATATTCATTATGGTCCCCTTCCCTTTTTTAAGAGATGGAGTCTTACTTTGTCACCCACACTGGAGTACAGTGGCACGATTTTGGCTCACTGCAGTCTTGACCTCCTGGTCTCAAGCAATCCTCCTGCCTTGGCCTCCCAAACCACTAGAATTACAGGCGAGCCGCTGCACCAAGCCCAGGGTCATTTTTTAGTTTGTTTTTTAGTTTTTTGTTTGTTTGTTTTGAGACTAGTCTCATTTCTGTTGCCCAGGCTGGAGGGCAGTGGCCTGATCTCGGTTCACTGTAGCCTTGGCCTCCCAGGTTCAAGCAATTCTCTGCCTCGGCCTTCTGAGTAGCTGGGATTCAGGTGCCCACCACCACACCCGGGCTAATTTTTTTGTATTTTTAGTAAAGGCAGGGTTTCACCATCTTGGCAAGGCTAGTCTTGAACTCCTGACCTCGTGATCCACCTGCCTTGGCCTCCCAAAATGCTGAGTTTGAGACCAGCCTGGCCAATATGGTGAAACCCTGTCTCTACCAGAAATACAAAAATTAGGTGTGGGCCGGGCGCGGTGGATCAAGCCTGTAATCCCAGCACTTTGGGAGGCCGAGGCGGGTGGATCATGAGGTCAAGAGATCGAGACCATCCTGGTCAACATGGTGAAACCCTGTCTCTACTAAAAATACAAAAAATCAGCTGGGCATGGTGGCGCGTGCCTGTAATCCCAGCTACTCAGGAGGCTGAGGCAGGAGAATTGCCTGAACCCAGGAGGCGGAGGTTGCGGTGAGCCGAGATCACGCCATTGCACTCCAGCCTGGGTAACAAGAGCGAAACTCCGTCTCAAAAAAAAAAAAAAAAAAAAAAAAAAAAAAGGCCGGGCGCGGTGGCTCAAGCCTGTAATCCCAGCACTTTGGGAGGCCGAGGCGGGTGGATCACGAGGTCGAGAGATCGAGACCATCCTGGTCAACATGGTGAAACCCCGTCTCTACTAAAAATACAAAAAACTAGCTGGGCATGGTGGTGCGTGCCTGTAATCCCAGCTACTCAGGAGGCTGAGGCAGGAGAATTGCCTGAGCCCAGGAGGTGGAGGTTGCGGTGAGCCGAGATCGTGCCATTGCACTCCAGCCTGGGTAACAAGAGCGAAACTCCGTCTCAAAAAAAAAAAAAAAAAAAAAAAAAAATTAGGTGTGGTGGCATGCACCTGTAATCCGAGCTACTCAGAAGACAGGCAGGAGAATTGCTTGAACCAAGGAGGCAGAGGCTGCAGTGAGCCAAGATTGTACCACTTTACTCCAGCCTGAGGAACAGAGTGAGACCCTGTCTCAAAAACAGAAAATAAAATAAAAATTTTATAAGTGAGTTAGGCAAAGAAGAAATCCAGCGGACAAGGCCTCAAGGGATAAGAGTCATAGACATAGCTTTTTTTTTTTTTTTTTTTTTGAGACGGAGTTTCGCTCTTGTTCCCCAGGCTGGAGTGCAATGGCACGATCTCGGCTCACCGCAACCTCCGCCTCCTGGGTTCAGGCAATTCTCCTGCCTCAGCCTCCTGAGTAGCTGGGATTACAGGCACGTGCTACCATGCCCAGCTAATTTTTTTTTTTTGAGACGGAGTTTCGCTCTTGTTACCCAGGCTGGAGTGCAATGGCGCGATCTCGGCTCACCGCAACCTCCGCCTCCTGGGTTCAGGCAATTCTCCTGCCTCAGCCTCCTGAGTAGCTGGGATTACAGGCACGTGCCACCATGCTCAGCTAATTTTTTGCACTTTTTGTAGAGACGGGGTTTCACCATGTTGACCAGGATGGTCTCGATCTCTTGACCTCGTGATCCACCCGCCTCGGCCTCCCAAAGTGCTGGGATTACAGGCTTGAGCCACCGCGCCCGGCATTTTTTTGTATTTTTAGTAGAGACGGGGGTTTCACCATGTTGACCAGGATGGTCTCGATCTCTAGACCTCGTGATCCACCCGCCTCGGCCTCCCAAAGTGGTGGGATTACAGGCTTGAGCCACCGCGCCCAGCCAGACATAGCTTTAATGATCTTTACCCGACACCCAATACCTGAAAATTCAGGTGTTCATGCAAGATAAAGAGGTAATTTTTCTCCTCCTCCCAGTCGTTAAGCGGCTCTCCACCTTGATCATTTTCGATTTACACAGATTCACGGTGCACGTGCCCAGAAAGGACGCCGAGAACCACAGGAGCCTGGAGGAGCCAACCGCGCAGAGGGGTGGAGTCTCGGCCACTACCTCGGTATTGCAGGCTGTAGCCACTGGTCCTCCGACGCGGTGCGGCAGGTAGCGGCGCTCTGCTGGATGGGGCCGGAGCTGCCGGGAGCGGGTGGGCGCCTGGCGTGGAGGTCACTCCGGTTGGTAGAACTCGGGCCAGGGAGTCGAGTGGACTCGGGGAAGGTGGGAAGGAGTAGAGAATCGGGCCCAAAAGGAACAAGGTGGGTCGCGGGACCCCGAGATCTCGGGATGAGCGGCTTGCTGCTGCGGTCCCAGCCGCCCCACTCGACAGATACTTGAGTATCACCCTTGTGGCTCCCGGCGGGAACCCGGCCCCACCCCCAACTCCACGCCTTCCGCTACCCCTAGATCTCTGCGGATCGCGTTCGTCCCGGTCTCGTCCTCATGGCGGACAAGAAACTGGTGGTGGTTTTTGGAGGCACAGGTGAGCGAAACCCCAGACCACTGGAGCTCCTACAGAGCCAGGGCGCCCATCCCTGAAGACCGCCCGCCCTGGGGTCTGCAGGGAGGGGTAAGATCACTGGGACCCCCTACCCGGGTTGGGGATGTGGGGGCAGGAATAAGGCCTGAATTGCTTTTCAATTAAAAAAAAAAATCAATTACTTTAATGTGTTTGAATAGAAATACTTATCATGATAACAAAATTAAATCTTCCTAGCCCCCTCTTCCACCTCATCCATCACTGTTACCGAGTTTCTTGAACATCCTGCCAGAGTAGATAACATAAATATACTGTCATTTTTTTCAAATGATAGCATATGATTTTGTTCCTGTTTATTCTTCTTTATACATATTTAATATCTATAACAGCTTTATGGAGATATAATTCACAAACTATACAATCCACCTGTTTAAAGTGTCAACTCGGCCAGGCACTGTGGCTCATGCCTGTAATCCCATCACTTTGAGGCCGAGGCAGGCAGATCACAAGGTCAGGAGTAGGAGACCAGCATGGGGAACACGGTGAAACCTCGTCTCTACTAAAATACAAAAAATTAGCTGGGTGTGGTGGCGGACTCCTGTAATCTCAGCTATTGAGAAGGCTGAGGCAGGAGAATTACTTAAACCCAGGAGGTGGAGGTTGCAGTGAGCTGAGATTATGCCACTGTACTCCAGCCTGAGTGACAGAGTGAGACTCCATCTCCAAAAAAAAAAAAAAAAGTGTCAACTCACTGTTTTCTACTGTATTCACAGAATTGTACAACCATCACCACAATCAATTTTAGAAAATTTCCATCACTCCAAAAAAGAAACTCCGGCCCAGGTGCAATGGCTTAACCCTGTGCTCCTAGCACTTTCATTGGACCAAGTGGGCAGATGGTTTGAGCCAAGGAGTTTGAGACCAACCTGAGCAACATGGCAAAACCTCATCTCTATCAAAAAATACAAAAATTAGCCAGGCAAGGGTCAGACATCTGTAGCTACTGGGGAGGCTGATGTTGGAGGATTCACCTGAATCCAATAGGTGGAGGCTGCAGTGACCTGATTGTGCCACTGCACTCAAGCCTGAGTGACAGACTGAGACCTGATCTTAAAAAAAAAAAAAGGCTAGGCACAGTGACTCACACCTGTAATCCCAGCACTTTGGGAGGCCAAGGCAGGCAGATCACAGGTCAGGAGTTCAAGACCAGCCTGGCCAACATGGTGAAACCCCGCCTCTACTAAAAATACAAAAATTAGCTGAGTGTGGTGGTGGATGCCTGTAGTCCCAGCTACTCAGGAGGCTGAGGCAGGAGAATGCTTGAACCAGAGAAGCAGAGGTTGCAGTGAGCTGAGATAGTGCCACTGTACTCCAGCCTGGGCAACAGTGAGACGCTGTCTCAAAAAAAAAAAAAAAAACTCCTGAACCCATGAACAATTGCTCCCCATTTTTTTTTTTTTTTTTTTTTTTTGAGACGGAGTTTCGCTCTTGTTACGCAGGCTGTAGTGCAATGGCGCGATCTCGGCTCACCGCAACCTCCGCCTCCTGGGTTCAGGCAATTCTCCTGTCTCAGCTTCCTGAGTAGCTGGGATTACAGGCACGCACCACCATGCCCAGCTAATTTTTTTTGTATTTTTAGTAGAGACGGGGTTTCACCATGTTGACCAGGCTGGTCTTGATCTCTTGACCTTGTGATCCACCCGCCTCGGCCTCCCAAAGTGCTGGGATAACAGGTTTGAGCCACCGCGCCCAGCCTGCTCCCCATTCTTACTTCTCTCAGCCAATCCCTAGAAAGTACCAGTCTACTTTTGGTATCTATGGATTTGTCTTTTCAGGACATTTCATGTGAGTAAAATCAAAATATACAGCTTTTTCTGTCTAGCTTCTTTCACTTAGCATATTTTCAAGGTTTGTTCACGTTGTAGTGCATGTCCGTGTTTTACTTTTTTTTTTTTTTTTTTTTTTTTTTTTCTGAGACAGAGTCTCGCTCTGTTGCCCAGGCTGGAGTGCAGTGACGTGATCTCTGCTTACTGTAACCTCTGCCACCCAGGTTCAAGCGATTCTCCTGTCTCAGCCTCCTGAATAGCTAAGACTACAGGTGTGGGCGTGAGCCACCATGCCTTCCTAGTTTTTGTATTTTTAGTAGAGATGGATTTTGCCATGTGGACCAGGCTGGTCTCAAACTCCAGACTTCACGTGATCTGTGCACCCCAGCTTCCTAAAGTGCTGGGATTAGAGGCGTAAGATACTGCACCCAACCATCTTTACTCTTTTTTTTTTTTTTTCTTTTTTTGAGATAGAGTTTCACTCTTGTTGCCCAGGCTGGAGTGCAATGTTATGATCTCGGCTCATTGCAACCTCTGCCTCACGGGTTCAAGCAGTTCTCCTGCCTCACCCTCCCAAGTAGCTGGGATTATAGGTGTGTACCACAACACCCAGCTAATTTTGTATTTTTTTAGTAGAGACGGGGTTTCACCATGTTGGTCAGACTAGTCTTGAACTCCTGACAGCTTTACTCATGTTTATGGCTGAATAATATTCCACTGTATGGATAGACCACATTCTGTTTACCCATTCATCAGTGGATGGCTACTTGATTTATTTCCACTTTTTGGATATTATGAATAATGCTGCTATGAACATTGGTGTACGCTTTTTTTTTTTGAGAGAGAGTTTTGCTCTTGTTGCCCAGCTGGAGTGCAATGGCATAATGTTGGCTCACTGCAACCTTCGCCTCCTGGGTTCACGCTATTCTGCCTCAGCCTCATGAGTAGCTGAGATTACAAGCATGCACCACCACACCCGGCTAATTTTGTATTTTTTCAGTAGGGACGGGGTTTCCCTATGTTGGTCAGGCTGGTCTGGAACTCCCGACCTCAGGTAATCCTCCCACTTCAGCCTCCCAAAGTACTGGAATTACAGGGTGAGTCACACACCTGCCCTTGGTGTACACTTTTTTTTTGAGTCAGGATCTCTCTGTTGCCCAGGCTGGAGTGCAGTGGCACAATTATCACTCACTGCAACTTTGACATCCAAGGCTCAAGCAATCCTCCTTCCTTAGCCTCCTTAGTAGCTGGGACTTCAGGTGAGCGCTAACAGGCCCAGCTGATTTTTTAATTTTTTGTAGAGACAAGGTTTTGCCCTGCTGCCCAGGTTGGTCTCAAACTCCTGGCCTCAAGCAAAATCCAACCCCCTTACCCTCCCAAAGTGCTTAGATTACAGGCATGAGCTACTGTGCCTGGCCTCAGCACTTAATTTTTTTTTTGCAATGGAGCCTGTCACTATTGCCCAGGCTGGAGAGCAATGGCACGATCTCCACTCACTGCAACCTCCGCCTCCCAGTTTAAAGCGATTCTCCTGACTCAGCCTCCGGAGAAGCTGGGATTGCAGGTGCCCACAACCATACCCAGCTAAGTTTTTGTATTTTGTAGTAGAGATGGGGTTTCACTATGTTGGCCAGGCTGGTCATGAACTCCTGATCTCATGATCCTCCTGCCTTGGCCTCCCAATGTGTTGGGATTATAGATGTGAGCCACCATGCCCGGCCTCTGTCCTTATTTTTGATGCATTTCTGTGTAAATTGCAGATATGTGCACACTGCCCTTCCATACAAAAGCATGCATAACAGTAGCTAGTGTCCAGTATTTGTTTACAGACTTTTTAAAATTATGAGGTAAAATTTACTTCTAATAAAGTACATGGCCGGGCACGGTGGCTCAAGCCTGTAATCCCAGCACTTTGGGAGGCCGAGGCGGGTGGATCACAAGGTCGAGAGATCGAGACCATCCTGGTCAACATGGTGAAACCCCGTCTCTACTAAAAATACAAAAAACTAGCTGGGCATGGTGGCGCGTGCCTGTAATCCCAGCTACTCAGGAGGCTGAGGCAGGAGAATTGCCTGAGCCCAGGAGGCGGAGGTTGCGGTGAGCCGAGATCGCGCCATTGCACTCCAGCCTGGGTAACAAGAGGGAAACTCCGTCTCAAAAAAAAAAAATAAATAAATAAAAAAAAATAAAGTACAGAAGATCTCTTTATTTTTTTGGAGACAGGGCCTCACTCTGTCTCCCAGGCTGGTGTGCAGTGGTGTGATCACGGGTCACTGCATCCTCAACCTCCTGGGCTCGGGCTACCTTCGGCCTCAGCCTCCATGGTAGCTGGAACTACAGGCACATGCCACCATGCCTGGCTAATTTTTATATTTTTATAGAGATGGGGTTTCGCCATGTTGCTCAGGCTAGTCTCCAACTCCTGGGCTCAGGAGATTTGCTCGCCTCAGCCTCCCAAAGTGTCAGGAGTACAGGCATGAGCCACCGTGCCCAGCTGCAGTGCAGAAAATCTTAAGGGTACATCTGACAGATGCACTTGCCTGCATAACTAAGCTCCCATCGAGATCTGAGTAAGTTTTTGTATTCCTTTCTGTTAACTATTTTGTTGTGTGTCCTTTTATTTTTTTTTGAGATGGAGTCTTGCTCTGTCTCCTAGCCTGGAGTGCCATGGTGTGATCTCAGCTCACTGTAACCTCTACCTCCCAGATTCAAGCAATTCTCCTGTCTCATCCTCCTGAGTAGTTGGAACTACAGGCACATGCCACCACGCCCAGCACATTTTTTTGTATTTTTAGTAGAAACAGAATTTCACCGTGTTAGGATGGTCTCGATATCCTGACCTCATCATCTGCCTGCCTCAGCCTCCCAGAGTGCTGGGATTACAGGCATGGGCCACAACATCTGACCCTTTGTGTCCTTCTGGAGCAGATGTGAATATGGTGTGTATCTGAGTATGGCTTTGTGTTCTACTTCAGGAAGAATTCTAATACCATCAAGATATGAGTATCGTTTTGTGTTTTACTTTTTTGTTTTACTTTATTACATCAAAAATATTTTTCTTTTTCTTTTCTTTTCTTTTTTTTTTTTTTTTTTGCACTTTGCTTGGAAGGAGATTTTTTTTTTTTTTTAAATACAGATTTTCGATCTGTCCCCCGGGCTGGAGTGCAGTGGCATGATCTTGGGTTACTGCAACCTCCGCCTCCCGGGCTCCAGCAATTCTCGTGCCTCTGCCTCCCGAGTAGCTGGGCTTACAGAGGTATGCCACCAAATTCAGTTAATTTTTGTATTTTTTTGGTAGAGACTGGGTTTCACGGAACCGAGATAGCGCCACTGCATTCCAGCCTGGGTGACCGAGTGAGAATCCATCTCAAATAAATAAATAAACAAATAAATAAAATAGGCTGGGCATAGTGGTTCACACCTGTAATTCCAGCACTTTGGGAGGCCGAGGTGGGTGGATCACCGGAGGTCAAGAGTTCGAGACCAGCCTGGCCAACATAGTGAAATCCCTTCTGTACTAAAAATACAAAAAATATCTGGGCCAGGTGGTGGGTGCCTGTAATCCCAGCTACTCAGGAGGCTAAGACAGGAGAATTGCTTGAACCCAGGAGGCAGAGGTTGCAGCGAGACAAGATTGTGCCACTGCACTCCAGCCTGGGGAACAAAGAGCGAAACTCCACCTGAAAAAAATAATTAATAAATAAAATAAAAAGTTGAATGCAAATCCTCACAGGTTTCCCGGATGTTCCTTGCTGTGGTAAAGCACTTCCTTCAGGCTTCAGGCTTTAGTGGGACTTTCAGGCAGGTGTGACCTGGGAGGTCTTTCTGACTCTTTGCAGGTGCCCAGGGTGGCTCCGTGGCCCACACGCTCCTGGAAGATGGGACATTCAAGGTTCGAGTGGTGACCCGAAACCCTAGGAAGAAGGTAGCAAAGGAGCTGAGGTTGCAAGGTGCAGAAGTAGTGCAGGGAGATCAAGATGACCGGGCCAGCATGGAACTGGCCCTGACTGGGGCTCACGCCGCCTTCATCGTGACCAATTACTGGGAGAACTGCAGCCAGGAGCAGGAGGTCAAGCAGGTGAGGGCAGGCAGGAGCTGCAGGGAGGCCGCAGCAGGCTAGAAGCAGAGCATCTGGGAAGACCTCTGACTCTGCAGGGAGGCCCGACCACTGCAGGCCTTTCCCTCTTCTTCATTCGTCTGCCTGCCCTAGGCTGTGATGCAGGTGGACGCAGTTGCTTTCTCATCCAGTGACTTTTCTTTGAGTCAGTCTCAGTCTCAGTGAGCCACCATGCCTGCCCCGTTTGGTTTTTTAAATAAAAAATGTTACAAGTTGTTTTTTTTTTTTTTAAAATAATTTTGGCCGGATTCACACCTCTAATCCCAGCACTTTAGGAGGCCGAGGCAGGTAGATCGTGAGGTCAAGAGATCAAGACCATCCCGGCCAACATGGTGACACCCCGTCTCTACTAAAAATACAAAAATTAGCAGGGTGTGTTGGCGGGCACCTGCAGTCCCACCTACTTGGGAGGCTGAGGCAGGAGAATTGCTTGAACCGAGGAGGCAGAGGTTGCAGTGAGCCAAGATTGGGCCACTGCACTTCAGCCTCAGGTGACAAAGCGAGACTCCATCTAAAAAAAAAAAGAGGGAAAAAAATAATAATTTCAAGTCCAGGTGCGGTGGCTCAAGCCTGTAATCCCAGAACTTTGGGAGGCGGAGGCAAGCGGATCACCAGGTGAAGAGATAAGACCATCCTGGCCAAAACGGTGAAACCCCATCTCTATTAAAAATACAAAAAATTAGTTGGGCGTGGTGGTGTTCACCTGTAGTCCCAGCTACTCAGGAGGCTGAGGCAGGAGAATCGCTTAAACCCAGGAGGTGGAGGTTGCAGTGAGCCAAAATGGAGCCACTGCACTCCAGCCTGGCAAAAGAGTGAGACTCTGTTTCAAAAAAGAAAAAAAAAGTTGTTTTGTTTTGAGACAGAGTCTCACTTTGTCACCCAGGCTGGAGTGCAATGGCCCGATCTCTGCTCACTGCAACCTCCGCCTCCTGAATTCAAGCAATTCTCCTGCCTCAGCCTGCTGAGTAGCTGGGACTACAGGCGTATGCTACCACGCCTGGCTTTTTTTTTTTTTTTAGTAGATGGGGTTTCACAGTGTTAGCCAGGATGGTCTCAATCTCCTGACCTTGTGATCCACCCACCTCGGACTCCGGAAGTGCTGGGATTACAGGCATGAGTCACCACTCCCAGCAAAAAAAAGGTTTTGAGGGAGTTTCTTCTTCACCTTTTCCAGCTTCTCACCGCTCCAGGTATTCCTGGCCTTGTGGCCACAAAGCTCCAGTCTCCACTTCCCTCTTCACATGGCCTTCTCCAGGAGTTGTCTCCTCTCTCATCTCTTATAAGTACCCCTGGTTATGGGGCCGGGCACAGCAGCTTATGCCTGTAATCCCAGCACTTTGGGAGGCTGAGGCAGGCAGATCACGAGGTCAAGAGATGGAGACCATCTTGGGCCAAAATGGTGAAACCTCATCTCTACTAAATATATAAAAATTAGCTGGGTGTGGTGGCAGGTACCTGTAGACCCAGCTACTCAGGAGGCTGAGGCAGGAGAATCACTTGAACCCAGGAAGCAAAGGTTACAGTGAGCCAAGATCGTGCCACTGTACTCTAGCCTGGCAACAGAGCGAGACTCCTTCTCAAAATAAATAAATAAGCAAGCTGGTTACTAGATTTAGGGCCCATCTAGTTAGTACCAGATGTTCTCATCACAAGATCCTTCACATAATTACATCTGCCACCACCGTTTTTCCAAATAAACTCACATTCACAGGTTCCAGGAGACAGGATGCGGCGTATCTTTTTGGAGGCCATCAGACTCCCTGCATCACCTTATGCAGAGCAGGTAGTGTTGTCGTCTGCATTTAACCAACGAGGTCAGATGGTGCCCATCACGTGACCTGCGTCACACAGCTAGTACATGGCAAAGCCTCACTGGAACCTAAGCAGCTGTGGCGCCTCTTTCTAGCCTCCCAGGGCTCTCGAGGAAGATGGCTGAGCTCTGTGGGCAGGGAGTTCTGGGATCAGTGATGATCAGACATGTCCTCTGGGCTGCTGTGCAAGCTGTCCCCCGTAGCTGACCTGCCTGCCCCTCCCATGTTGCACATGGTGGGCCAGAGTCGGTGGCTGGTAGAAGGTAGGGCTGTGTTAACAGGTGTGGTGTCATGTGTGAACATCATTCCAGGAAAGGGGGCCTCCTCCTGGAGTGAGTGGGATCTGGCCATTAACCTTGCAGATGGCGGCCGCTCTGGGATTAGAGCGCTGGGGCTGTGACCAGGGACAGACGTCCTTCCTCTGAGCCTTGTGATCTCTCCTTCCCTGCCCTCCAGGGAAAGCTGCTGGCTGATGTGGCCAAGTGCCTGGGCCTCCACTATGTGGTCTACAGTGGGCTGGAGAACATCAAGAAGCTGACGGCTGGGAGACTGACCGTCGCGCACTTCGACTGGCAAAGGGGAGGTGGAGGAATATTTCCGGGACATCGGCGTTCCCATGACCAGTGTGCGGCTGCCCTGCTATTTCGAGAACTTCCTCTCCCACTTTTTGCCCCAGAAAGCCCCAGACGGAAAGAGCTACTTGCTAAGTGAGTGCCCTTCCTTGTGTGCAGTAAGGCAGAGCTCTTGCCTTGTGAAGCCATTAGTGCCGGGTCTGGGCCCTGGCTTCCTCACGTTAGGCCCAGGACTGAGCACGTCCTATCAGCTTGTGGGACCTCAGCTTCCTGTTTTGTGGGATGGGCTTTATACTGACACTCGCATGGGTGGCAAGATCTACCGAGACAGTGGTGACATGATGGTCGCTCCGTCCTTTGGAAGACTTTATAGAATGGTCGTAGTGATTGTCAGTTCTCCTTCAAAGATAAGGAGGAGGACCAGGTGCAGTGGCTTACCTCCGTAGTCCCAGCACTTTGAGAGGCCAAGGCAGGTGGATCACATGAGGTCAAGAGTTCAAGAGTGGACTGGCCAACCTGGTGAAACACTGTCACTACTAGAAATACAAAAAGTAGCTGGGCGTGGGGCCATGTACCTGTGGTTCCAGCTACTAGGGAGGCTGAGGCAGGAGAATTACTGAACCCAGGAGGCAGCGGCTTGCAGTGAGCCGAGATCGCGCCATTGTACTCCAGCCTGGGCAACAAGAGCGACACTCCGTGTCAAAACAAACAAACAAACAAACAAACAAAAAGACAAGGAGGAGAGGATTTGGAAAATGAGGTTTAGTTGCAGATTTCACAAACTAGGAAAGCTCTTTCTTCTCAGTGCCCAGTGGCAAGTCTATTAACTGGTTAGGTGCACCGGCCCTGGCTGAGAAGAAGGACACACCCAACCTGTGTCCTGCCGTTCATTCAGTGATCAGGACAGGAAGTCCAGTGCCTCTGGCTGGCTACGCCTTACCCTTTATGTGAATGCCAGGTCACCCTAGCATAAGGGCCTGCAGGGCTGTAAGATAGCCTAGGGGAGTTCTGCCTACCTGGCGAGCTGAGTCTGGTGGTAGTGGTAGACCCTTGGTACCACCGTCTATTCTAGTTTGTAAAGCTGCAGTCAGGGATACTCCTTGCTCCGGTCTCTGAGCTCTGTGCCCTCAAACTCCCGGGTGATCTGAATAGGCAGCTGCATTGGCTCCTGTCTCTAGGTAAGGAGATGGGACCCAAACATTCCTGGGGCCACACCCAGACACTCATCAGCCTCCCCGTCTATAAAACCTCAGCCTGGGAGGTTGAGTCATTCATTCATTCAGGATTTTTTTTTTTTTTTTTTTTTTGAGACGGAGTTTCACTCTTGTTACCCAGGCTGGAGTGCAATGGCGCGATCTCGGCTCACTGCAACCTCCGCCTCCTGGGTTCAGGCAATTCTCCTGCCTCAGCCTCCTGAGTAGCTGGGATTACAGGCACGCGCCACTACGCCCAGCTAATTTTTTGTATTTTTAGTAGAGACGGGGTTTCACCATGCTGACCAGGATGGTCTCGATCTCTTGACCTCGTGATCCACCTGCCTCGCCCTCCCAAAGTGCTGGGATTACAGGCTTGAGCCACCGCGCCCGGCCCTCATTCAGGATTTATCCTGGATGTGCTGCTCTGGGCCAGGCCTGGTGTCTGGTTAACCAGGATTCCTAGTAAGTGAGTTGCTACTTAGAGTATCCACCCAGAGGCGGACATTCCAGCTTCCAGGAACTTAGGATATGACAGTACTTCAGGGCTGGTGCCTCGAGATCAGCGGAGACCCTGGGCTCCAGCCACACTATCCATAGCAGCTTTCAAAGTCCCTTTCCTTTGTCCCTTGTCCATCGTCCTAGCACTGAGAGACCTGGGCAGGCCCAGGTTCTAGGAAGGCAGTGACCCAGGATCAGAGAGCCTCAGCAGCCTGCTGCAGGTGGCAGCACTCGGATTCCATCCGTTCCTGACTCAATGCCACTGCTGCCTCTGTGCTACCACAAAGAGCAAGACATGTCTTAGCCATGCCCTAGTGCTGGCATGTGCAGCTGACTGCTGGGAAAAACTAGCTTGGACCCTTTGGAGATGGGCTCTGGCCCTGCCCGTGTCTGCTCTCGGGACGAGAGCTAGCTCCTGTGTCTACCCCACAGGCTTGCCCACAGGTGACGTTCCCATGGATGGCATGTCCGTGTCTGACCTGGGTCCCGTGGTGCTCAGCCTGCTGAAGATGCCAGAAAAATACGTCGGCCAGAACATCGGGCTGAGCACTTGTAGACACACAGCCGAGGAGTATGCTGCCCTGCTCACCAAGCACACCCGCAAGGTCGTGCACAACACCAAGGTGGGCCTCCCACCCCTGGGGACTCGGGCAGCCTCGTCAGGGCTTTCTAACTCCAATAGGGAGGGTGTATCCAGGGCCACCCGCTCCTCTGGGCAATGCATCTAAATTCGTTTGTTCATTGTCAGTGTTTATTTCCTGCAATGTTTATTTTCTGGTCACGGAGTGAAATTTCTGGCTTAGATGTTTTGACCAAGTAGAGAGAAAAGCTTCCAGGAAGAGGGGACCATAGGAGCCAAGGCGAGGAGGGATGAAAATGCAGGCTCTGCTGGGCTCCTCTGTGGGAGGTGATAGGGAGGGAAAGAGGCTGGAAAGATAGGCCCAACCCCTGCTCCCACTGGCTTGGCTGGGTGGGCAGGAAGCCCACTGGACAGACTCCTGGGTACCTGGTTTCTAATGTTTATCATTACCATTAGGAAAGTAAGACCTGCTCATTAAAGAATCTGGGAGGCCAGGTACGGTGGCTCACGCCTATAATCCCAGCACTTTGGGATGCCAAGGCAGGCAGATCACCTGAGGTCAGGAGTTTGAAACCAGCCTGGCCAAGATGGTGAAACCCTATCTCTACTAAAAATACAAAATGAGCCAGGTGTGGTGGTGTACACCTGCAGTCCCAGCTGCTTGGGAGGCTGAGGGAGGAAAATCGCTTGAACCTGGGAAGCAGAGGTTGCAGTGAGCTGAGATCCCGCCACTGCACTCCAGCCTGGGAGACAGAAGAAGACTCCCACAAAAAAAAAAAAAAAAAAAGAAGAAGAATCAGCTGGGTGCCGTGGCTCATACCTATAATCCCAGCACTTTAGGAGGTGGAGGTGTATGGATCACAATGTCAAGAGATCAAGACCATTCTAGCCAACGTGGTGAAACCTCATCTCTACTAAAAATACAAAAATTTACCTGGTGTGGTGACATGTACCTGTAGTCCTAGCTACTCAGGAAGTTGAGGCAGGAGAATCACTTGAACCCCAGAGGCGGAGGTTGCAGTGAGCCAAGATCACACCACTGCACTCCAGCCTGGGAGACAGAGCAAGACTCCATCTCGCCGGGGAAAAGAAAAAAGAATCCGGGAAACACTGGAGTCTTTTAAAGACAAAAATTGGGCCAGCGCAGTGGCTCACGCCTGTAATCCCAGTAATCTGGGAGGCTGAGGTGGATGGATCACAAGATCAGGAGTTCAAAACCAGCCTGCCCAATATGGTGAAACCCCATCTCTACTAAAAATATAAAAATTAGCCAGGCATGGTGGTGTGCACCTGTAATTCCAGTTACTCGGGAGGCTGAGGCAGGAGAATTGCTTGAACCCTGGAGGCGGAGGTTGCAGTGAGCCAAGATTGCGCCATAGCACTCCAGCCTTGGGGAAAAAAGCAAGACTCTGTCTCAGGGAAAAAAAGAAAAGAAAAGAAAAGAAAAAAGTCACCCATAGAGCCTCACCGAGGCCCAGAACAGTAATGGGAAGAGGCCATGGCATGGAAAGGTTCAGGGTTCAAGTGGGTCAGCCTCCTGGACTGAGATCTGATTCCAGCCATTGAGACCTGCCAACATGTGGGCTTAGGCATATTCCTTGACCCCCCCATCTCAGTTTCCTCATCTGTGAAATGGGTGTATCAATAGTATACACCCCTTCAGTTTGTTGTGAGGTTTAAATGAAAAAATGCAAAACTTTATTTTAGTGATATGCCTAACACCTCAAAAATATGCACTAAATGACTTGTGTTGCTTAAAAAAAAAAAGAAGTAAAAGATCTGAGCCAGGTCATGGAGGATTTGGGGGAGCTGAGGGATTAAGATTCAGCTTAGTAGGGACGGGAACAGCTTTGGGTTTTTTTTTTGTTTTTTGTTTTTTTTTTGGGGGGGGTGTGTGTGTGTATGTATGTTGTTTTTAAGACAGTCTCACTCTGTTGCCCAGGCTGAAGTGCAGTGGTGCAATCTTAGCTCACTGCAACCTCAACCTCCCAGGCTCAAGCAACCCTCCCACTTCAGCCTCTTAAGTACCTGGGACTACAGGTGCATGCCACCGTGCCTGGCAAAGGGGTCTTGTTTTGTTGCCTAGGTCTTGAACTGTGCTCAAGCAGTCCTCCCACCTCCACCTCCCAAAATGCTGGGATGAGAGAGTGAACCACCATGTCTGGGTTTTTGAGCAAGAAAGTGATGCAGGCAGGTCTCTGATTTGGAAGGGATTGAGATGTTTTCATCTCATGATCTGAAAATAAGAGTCTTTTTATTTATTTATTCATTTTTGAGACAGGGTCTCACTCTGTGGCCCAGGCTGGAGTGCAGTGGTGTGATCTCAGCTCATCACAACCTCCATCTTCTGGGTTCAAGTAATTATCCTGCCTCAACCTCCCAAGTAGCTGGAATTACAAACGCCTAGCACCATGCCTGGCAAATTTTTTGTATTTTTGGTAGACACAGGGTTTTACTGTGTTGGCCAGGCTGGTCTCAAACTCCTGGCCTCAAAGTGATTTGCCCGCCTCGGCTTCCCAAAGTACAGGGATTACAGGCATGAGCCATGGCGCCTGGCCAAGAACAGTCTTTAAACTGATCTAAAATGCCAGGCAGCTCACAAGAGCAGTGGTTTCTGAACTTTGAGCTCTTAGTAGAAGTTTTCAAATGACCTTGTATTGAGGACCTCAGTCAGCAACTGAGATAATAGTGGATCTGGGTGTAGCAGGTCAGGAGATCCCAGCCCATTTGGCCTCCCCACGCCACCTCCTGGGGCACTGGAGGACGCCAGCCACGACGGGATCCTCTACTTCCAGATGACTCCTGAGGACTACGAAAAGCTTGGCTTTCCTGGGGCCCAGGACCTGGCCAACATGTTCCGTTTCTATGCCCTGAGGCCTGACCGTGACATCGAGCTGACCCTGAGACTCAACCCCAAGGCCCTGACGCTGGACCAGTGGCTGGAACAGCACAAAGGGGACTTCGCCCTGCTGTGACCTGCCTGCCTTGCAGCCCCTTGTGGGGGTTGGGGGCGTACCAGAGGGGTAGAGGCACCATCATCCTTCCCTATGTTACCAAAAAACTTTCTGAATAAAGCCAGTTTTCTCCCAGATGGCTTCCAGGAGGAAAGGACTCTTCTTCCAGGATTTGGCTGGGGTGGTAGCTGGGTACCAACACAGCAGTAAGCAGGCGTCCAAGGCTGAAGGGATCACTTGGTGACTGATGAGCAACCTAAACGTGTGTTCAGTCAAACAGGTGTGAAGTCGCCCAATCTGACCTCAGCTAGTAGAGTGGCTCTGATCAGCAGCCTCTGTTCCCACCATACCTGAAATTCATTCACAGACAGGGACATAGCACAGGACACAGAGGAGCCCCAGGAGCAGTGCTTCTGACACATCCCCTTCATCTCCAGAGCTAGTGAGGCCAGCTGCACATGTAAGCTGGGGACAGGTGCTGCAGGAGGTGGGGGCAGACAAAGGCCTCCCCCTTTCCCGCCTCATCCTTGTCCTGGGAGGAGCCCACCTTCGGGTGTCTTCCAGGACTTAGGTGACCTTCAAACAGGCTGGAAAAAGGAAAAACGGATGTGGCAGAGCTCTGCCCCACAGGGCACAGTAATTGGACAAGGCTGGGAAAAGGTGACGCTGCCTGTGGCAAAGGTTGGGAAGCAAAACTGAAAGAGAAAAGCCCACCTTGCTTGCTGGTGTGGGTCACAGAGAAGAAGGACAGAGGCTGAGAGACCAGTCATTTGCCTGACAGCAGTCTGTGGCAGCTCTGTGATTTTTTTTCTTAAGAGTCAAGGTCTCGTGGCCGGGCGCGGTGGCTCAAGCCTGTAATCCCAGCACTTTGGGAGGCCGAGGCGGGTAGATCACGAGGTCGAGAGATCGAGACCATCCCGGTCAACATGGTGAAACCCCGTCTCTACTAAAAATACAAAACATTAGCTGGGCGTGGTGGCGCGTGCCTGTAATCCCAGCTACTCAGGAGGCTGAGGCAGGAGAATTGCCTGAGCCCAGGAGGTAGAGGTTGCGGTGAGCCGAGATCGCGCCATGGCACTCCAGCCTGGGTAACAAGAGCGAAACTCTGTCTCAAAAAAAAAAAAAAAAGAGTCAAGGTCTCGCTCTGTTGCCCAGGCTGGAGTGAGTGGTGCAGTCATGGCTCACTACAGCCTTGACTCCCAGTCTTAAGCGATCTTCCCACCTCTACCTCCTGAGTAGTTGGGATTACAGGTGTGAGCCACTGAGCCCAGCAGTTCTACGAATTTCAGCATGTCTGGGTTTGTGTGACCACCATCACAATTTTTTTTTACTTGCCCACCCTGGCTCTGGTACCCCCAGGCACAAAAATTAATTCTATCCATTGATTGAAGCATGTTTTTTTGACAATTTACCGGTGTGCTGGGCCCTAACTATAATGTAGCAAAAAAAGTTATGCTCCCTGCTTTGCGGAGCTTATACTTAGTGGGAGAGCCTGATAGAAACACACAATAAATAGTTATGAATTCATGCCTATAATCGCAGCACTTTGGGAGGCCGAGGTAGAAGATCGCTTGAGCTTAGGAGTTTGACTGGCATGGGCAACATAGCAAGATCTCATCTTTACTAAAACATTTAAAAAAAAAGAAATTGGCTGGGCGCGGTGGCTCAAGCCTGTAATCCCAGCACTTTGGGAGGCCGAGGCGGGTGGATCACAAGGTCAAGAGATCGAGACCATCCTGGTCAACATGGTGAAACCCCGTCTCTACTAAAAATACAAAAAATTAGCTGGGCATGGTGGTGCGTGCCTGTAATCCCAGCTACTCAGGAGGCTGAGGCAGGAGAATTGCCTGAACCCAGGAGGCGGAGGTTGCGGTGAGCCAAGATCGCGCCATTGCACTCCAGCCTGGGTAACAAGAGCGAAACTCTGTCTCAAAAAAAAAAAAAAGAAATTAGGCCGGGCACAGTGGCTTGTGGCTTAAGGCTGGGAGCAGTGGCTTACGCCTGTAATCCCAGCACTTTGAGAGGCTGAGGTGGGTGATCACCTGAGGTCGAGTTTGAGAACAGCCTGATCATGGTGAAACCCTGTTTCTACGAAGGCCATACACAGTGGCCCATGCCTATAATCCCAGCACTTTGGGAGGCCAAGGCAGGCAGATCACTTGAGGTCAGGAGTTTGAAACCAGCCTGGCCATGGCAAAACCCTGTCTATACCAAAAAATACAAAAATCAGCTGGGTGTGGTGGCGTGTACCTGTGAGTGTACCAGGTCTGGTGGTGGGCGCATGTAATCCCAGCTACTCGGGAGTCTGAGGCAGGAGAATCGCTTGAATCCAGGAGACGGAGGTTGTAGTGAGTCGAGATTGTGCCACTGCACTCCATCCTGGACAACAGAAGGAGACTCTGTCTCAAAAACAAAAGAACACAGAAGAAATGGTGGCAGGCATGGTGGCATGCGCCTGTGCTCCCAGCTACTCAGGAAGCTGAGGTGGGAGGATCACTTGAGCCCAGGAGGTAAAGACTGTGATAAGCTGTGATTGTACCACCGCAGGCCAGCCAGGGGAAGAGTGAAAATCTTTCTTAAAAAAAAACAAACAGGTGGCTCAAGCCTGTAATCCCAGCACTTTGGGAGGCCGAGGCGGGTGGATCATGAGGTCAAGAGATCGAGACTATCCTGGTTAACATGGTGAAACCCCGTCTCTACTAAAAATACAAAAATTAGCCAGGTGTAGTGGCATGTGCCTGTAATCCCAGCTACTCAGGAGGCTGAGGCAGGAGAATTTCTTGAACCTGGGACGCGGAGGTTGCAGTGAGCCGAGATCTCGCCACTGCACTCCACCTGAGCAACAGAGTAAAACTCAGTCTCAAAAAAAAAAAAAGGTAAGACATGCACCGTAGTACTCATTAACAAGCCAGGGTGTGAAACAGGCCTCTTGCAGGAGCCGGACAGCTGCCATCGTCCACATCAGAGCCAGCTCTGCAATGCTGCAAACACAAAGGGGCGGGGCAGGTGGAGGCCTGTGGGCCTAGAGAGGATTCCTGCACACTGAGTGGGGTTTTGATGACAGGGAAGGAAACAAAGGCCAGTCCACTAGAAACCAAAGGACTCTAAGTGAGGAGGGGGCTCAGGTTGGAAACAACCCAAGCCCAGACCTGAGGTGCGGAAGGGGCTGAGGATCAGTGCCTGAAAGCTGGCCTTGTCCACCCTCCTAATGTTGAAGCACGTGCCAAACATGCCTCTCCCACAGACTCAAGGGCCTAGAGATACTCTTTTTTCTTGAGAGAGGATCTGGCTTTGCCACCTAAGCTGGAGTGCAGTGACACAATCAGAGCTCACTGCAGCCTTGAACTCCTCAGCTCAAGCAGTCCTCCACCTCAAGCCTTCCGAGTAGCCGAGACTACAGATGCAAGCCACCACCCCCAGCTAATTTTTTAAAAATTGTTTTCTAGCCGGGCGCGGTGGCTCAAGCCTGTAATCCCAGCACTTTGGGAGGCCGAGGCGGGTGGATCACGAGGTCGAGAGATCGAGACCATCCTGGTCAACATGGTGAAACCCCGTCTCTACTAAAAATACTAAAAATTAGCTGGGCATGGTGGCGTGTGCCTGTAATCCCAGCTACTCAGGAGGCTGAGGCAGGAGAATTGCCTGAACCCAGGAGGCGGAGGTTGCGGTGAGCCGAGATCGCGCCATTGCACTCCAGCCTGGGTAACAAGAGCGAAACTCCGTCTAAAAAAAAAAAAAAAAAAATTGTTTTCTAGAGATGGGGGTCTGCTGCTCAGGCTGATCTTGAACTCCTGGGCTCACAACCCTCCCACCTTGGTCTCCTAAAGTGTTGGGATTACAGGTGTGAGCCACCATGCCTGGCCCTTTTCTTGTATTTTTATTTATTTATTTATTGTATTGTATTGTATTTATTTATTTATCTCTAGAGATGGGGTTTCGCCATGTTGGACGGGCTGGTTTTGAACTCCTGACCTCAAGTGATCCACCCGCCTTGGCCTCCCAAAGTGCTGGGATTATAGGCGTGAGCCACCGTGCCCAGCCTTCTTGTATTTTTATTTTTATATTTATTTATTTATTTATTTATTTATTTTTGAGACGGAGTTTCGCTCTTGTTACCCAGGCTGGAGTGCAATGGCACGATCTCGGCTCACCGCAACCTCCGCCTCCGGGTTCAAGCAATTCTCCTGCCTCAGCTTCCTGAGTAGCTGGGATTACAGGCACACGCCACCATGCCCAGCTAATTTTTTGTATTTTTAGTAGAGACGGGGTTTCACTATGTTGACCAGGATGGTCTCGATCTCTTGACCTCGTGATCCACCTGCCTCGGCCTCCCAAAGTGCTGGGATTACAGGCTTGAGCCACCGTGCCCGGCCACTTCTTGTATTTTTTTTTTTTTTTTTTTTTGAGACGGAGTTTCGCTCCTGTTACCCAGGCTGGAGTGCAATGGTGCGATCTCAGCTCACCGCAACCTCCGCCCCCTGGGTTCAGGCAATTCTCCTGCCTCAGCCTCCTGAGTAGCTGGGATTACAGGCACGTGCCACCATGCCCAGCTAATTTTTTGTATTTTTAGTAGAGACGGGGTTTCACTATGTTGACCAGGATGGTCTCGATCTCTTGACCTCGTGATCCACCCGCCTCGGCCTCCCAAAGTGCTGGGATTACAGGCTTGAGCCACCGCGCCCGGCCCACTTCTTGTATTTTTAAATACATACTCCTACTCAGAAGCTATAAAGAAGTATGAAGCTGGGTGTGGTGGCTCACACCTGTAATCCCAGCACATTGGGAGACCAAGGCAGGCAGATCACCTGAGGTCGGGAGTTCAAGACCAGCCTGACCAACATAGAGAAACTGTCTCTACTAAAAATACATAATTAGCTGGGCGTGGCGTGGTGGCACATGCCTGTAATCTCAGCTATTTGGGAGGCTGAGGTAGATTCACTTGAACCTGGGAGGCAGAGATTGCGGTGAGCTGAGATTGTACCATTGCACTCCAGCCTGGGCAACAAGAGTGAAAATCCGTCTCCAAAAAAAAAAAAAAAAAAAAAAAAAAGTCTGGTAACAAATGTGTCAGGACCACATGTGGAAATAAACCAAACCCAACCTTGGAAGGGGCACTGAATTCTACAGCTGT